TGTAGCTAATACAATACAACTACAGCAGATATTAGGCCTGCCACTACTTCCTCTAGCTCTTCATCTTCCATTTTGTGCTTCACAGAAACGTAGCTGTGCAGATTGATACTGGACGTTTTGCTGCAACTGGCAGCCTTCCAGATTTGTAGAGTAGATCATGACACAGAACTCTAAGGCAAATATTTTTTATCAACTATAAACCTTTCTACTCCCCAAATACAAAGAGGGTTTTTACAGGCAGAAGCACAGTTGTGGGGCCTTACAAGTCTCTCCCATTGTCGCTTAGCTCTACATGGACGAAGTAGAGAGCAGAGCTCGTCCAGAGAACAACACATAACCACTGCTTCAGATATGAGACTATGTAGTGGAGATCCCAAAGTTTACAAAACTACCAGATTTTTCAGGCTGGATTTTTGGGAAATGTGTCTAAAATGATGCAGAAGACATGTAGAAATGTTCCATCTGATGGAGTTTTGGGTTTGAATATTTCACTCAATGAATCATCATGTAGCTTTAATGAAGAGACTGAACAACAGAACACAAAACGGGTTCTGTTCTGGGTTAAATATGTCTTTGGAAGAGGTTTCATATGTTATGAAATGAAGAAATGTAATGACCGAAATGTGACAGGACATTTAAGGGTTAAAGTCACAGTAGTTTTGTATTTTCATCCCAGCTGTTAAACAACAGATAACAGTCTGTGTTACTAAATTCAGCACCAACCTGAATGTGTTTGTGGTAACAGGAATGTTTGTTTGTATTTCTGCATCATCGTGAGCCAGATTTTTTATCTGCTGTCAGATTCAAATCAAGATGAAGAAACTTCTCAGTGAATCAGTTCAGAGAAACAGAGAAGTCTGGGAAACAAGAAATAGTTCAAAAGAGGAGATGAACTATAATTAAAGCAGAATGATCTTTGTTTTCACATTAACATCTGTGTACAAACAGTGATGTGTCACAGATGTGCATCTCTATGGTAACTATGTGCTGCCTGTTGCTCCTGGTCTCCACCTCCTTTCCACTTTAAAACCTCCGACTCAGCAGAAAACCACACAGCAGCTTCAGCTGAGCTGTCAATCAGCAGCAGCAGCCTTATCTGTCCGCCGCAGGGGCTGATGGGAGGTCTGAGGACCCGTTAGAAACCACGCGGCCCTCGTCTGATCTCACAGCTCGTCCTTGTTTGGCCTCAGCTGCATCAGAGCGCCACTTCTCCCCAGGTTCACCAGAGGAAACACCACTGCACACAATGCTTTTCCTCCCAGCTGCTGCTCTGTGCTGTCTGTGTTCAGGTGAGTGTTTCCAGCCAATCAGGAGCCAGCAAACTCCACCTGGAACAAACACTGTCACACTGACCTTCATCTATCTGTCTGTGTCTCTACAGCGCTGGTTGCCATGGCAGCAGACCTGATTCAGGAGGATTTAACATGGACCAGGAGAGCTGGTCAAACTGTTTCCTTCAGCTGTCGAGGAACTGACCAGTGTGGCAGTGATTATGTATTCTGGTACCAGAAGAAAGACACAGAAACATTCAGAGTGATTCTAGATATAAACAAAAATACTGGTTACATAGATTCAGGTTACGATCATCCTCAGAAAGATGATTTCTCTGCTGTGAGAAAACAGAACGGCTGTGAGTTGCAGATCCAGAAAGTTAAACTCTCTCATTCAGCCACCTACTACTGCTCCTGTTATAAGAGCGGCGCCCACAGTGAGAAATGATCCGTGCAGCCTGAACAAAAACCTTGAGATGTCAAACAGTGTTTGTGACAGGAAGAGAGCAGTAAACCACAGCCCAGGTTCACATATTTCACCTCCATCTCAGCCAGAGTCACAAACATACTGAGCTGAGGGATTTCTTTAATATTCTATTGATTTCTATTTGATCAGATATTCCAGCAGGTTTCTTGTTGTTCCACACAGTGAGGACAAACTAGCAGCACAGAAGCACAATGAGCAAACAAGATAAAGAGGAAACAGCTTTCAGTAGATTTCAGCAGATCATTTATTACATTTTAAAAGCTAAATCTTGGCTCTTGTGCATGTGTCAGGAAAGAGGCCTTTTGATCTGCTGGTCTTGTTGCCTCTTGGCATTTTGTGTTATGTTCTTGTGTTTTTAGTGTTCTTAATTTATCGTCTAGTTATGTTAATAAATTCCATTGATTTGGTTGTTTTAAAGGTGTTTATATGTGTCAAGTTTGGGTCAGTGTTGGAGTGTTGTTCGCCCATCATGTAGCCACCAAAGGCTGGGGCGTAACAGCATCCCCTCAGACAAAGCTTTGTCCTCAGGTATTTATTAGTTTCTGACTCGGATGGGGGGAAAACAGCTGTTTGTCTGAACTCTCACACATGTAGACTATTCTATGTGATCTCCTTTTTATAACTAATTCAGTAAGTAATGTAATTGTTTCACTCCCATTCACTGAGACTCCCTGTTAGGAGCCCCCTTATGGAGGCCCGCCTCACACTTTGAAAACCCCAGTTCTAGACCAGCACCTAAGCATCTTGGTTTTCGATAAACATACTGAAGCTTTAACGCTCCTCAGAGAATTTAACACTTTGTAACATTTAAATGTGGAGTAAGTGATTTTGGACAAATCCCGACCCATTGTCACACCAAAGTCGTCACACATGGATGCTTGATCAAGACCCCTGGGTGTCAGTTTTTAAGGCAATGGGGGAAGTCCTGTAGCATCATTTATAAACACTGAAAGCAAGTGTAAGCTATGAACAGAAACATCCAAGTAAGGAGGTGGTTTGGTTGGACGGGTGGGCCAGAAACCGGACTTTCACCCAGGAGACCTATGAAACAAAAAGTCAACATTCATTGTTTTAGGTAAGTTATGTATGTTAACGTTTCCTAAAGGTTCAGTTTGTACGTTTTAGTGGCATCTAGTAGTGAGGATTGCAACTAGCGGCTCATGATGCATTCATGTGCTCCTTGGATAGTTCCAATTCCTGAGTTGTGAAGCAGAAAAGCTCACAAGTGTTTGAGTTAGAGTCCAAATCAAGTCTCAAGTCACTTATCGTTATAATGAATGTTGTATCACCTGCTGCGTTCAATTCAGGCAGCTTATAAAACTGCATAGCTATAAGATATTCTGTAACTGTAACCTGTTTCTCACTTACAGAGCACAACCATGTAATATGCAATGCAATTAATGACAGCTGATTAACTACTGTCAGTCAACAACGCGCTGACCCTCAAACCAGTCGCTCATTAATGAAATCAACACTCTTCAGGGCAGAAACTAGCTTTCAGTCAATAAGTAGAGGCTGCAATCACTTTCTGCCAAGTGAAATAGTGCATGTTATGGGTTGTATTGACCATTTAAATGTATTTTAACAAGTAAAATAGACTGGATTGGTTGGTGGACAGCAAGTTAAATAATGTAGAGTCATAAGGATAATTGCAAAAGAGATCATGTCTTTATTTTATATATAACTCAGCAGTAAGTCATGTTCATTACATGGCTACAGTCTGTTTTCCAAATATAGACAAGGATATTAGACATCCTACCAAACACATAATCCATCAGCAACAACCGGCTTCTATTATTGATAATCACGTAAACGTCATGCCTGATTAACTCATTAAACTGCAAACACTTATTTAAAGACAAACCTTTGTTATTAAACTGGGCGATTCAACTTTAACATTCTGTGCGCGCTCCACACCTGTGTTTGTTGTCCTCTCTCACGTGTGTCCTTGCAGTAGATACGTAATTGTGTTACGTAGGCAGGTTAAAGGTAACACAGGGAGTGAATAACAGCACGCTCATCAGACATTTCCTAAAAATAAACATTGTTCACGAGTCCCGCACCTCGAGTCCGAGTCGAGTCTGAAGTCACTGTGTGTGCGACTTAAGTGCGACTCGAGTCCAAGTCTCAAACTTCAGTCCTCATGTCTGTTGTGAAATCGTTCCTCCGACTTCAGTGTGTGTTCATGTGCTCTGAAGTCTGAATGTAGAATCAACATGGAAGCTACTACAAAGATGTGTAGGATTAGCATTAGAGTGTAAACAACACGCAGACATCTAGTTCACTCTACATGGACAGCAAACTACCCGTTATAACCACAGTACAAATGACATGTTTGCAAAATATATAAATTAAACAAATGAATAAAATTTTTAATACTTGAAAAAGCAACTCTGGACAAAAGACAAGAAGAAGTGAAGATAAGGAGATTACAGAGATAAACACACATTCTTTTAAAACACATTTATTTATTTTTTGTATCAAAGCATGTGGAACAAGTTTAAATTATACCCAGACATTCAGCAGTAAAATATATATTTTTTAACAATACAACTTGCAGAAACATTACTTTATTGTAATACTGAAAATATCCTTAATATATTTTCATAACTAAAATATTTTAGTGACAAAAATATTCAGATTGGACCAAAATAATTTTGAACACACTGAATTGTAATTTTATTGTTATTTATGTCTTATATACTAATACTGAAAGTTTTTTGAAAAGAACAGGGTAAATGTTCCTGATGATTTTTAATGTGCTTGTGGTACATTTTAAAACTAAGTGGAAGCATAAGTGGGATTATTAGATACATTTTTCTGAACCATCTGCTGGCTTCATCTTTACAAACTAAACCTCTGAACTTTATTTTACGTTCTAGCGGAGAGTTTACAAAAGTTTACAAAACTACCAGATCTTTCAGTCTGGATTTTGGGGAAATGTGTCTAAAATGATGCAGCAGACATGTAGAAATGTTCCATGTGATGGAGTCCTGTTGTGTGGTTTTCTGCTAAATATTCAAACCCAGGACTCTTGAATGAAGAGACTGAACAACAGAACACAAAATAAAGATGTGATGCTGTGTGTGGAAAAGGTTTCATGTGTCGTAGAAATGAAATGACTGAAATGTGAGGGGACGTTTAGGGGTTAAAATCACAGTTTGCAGTTGTGGATTTTCATCACAGATGTTAAACAGATAAGAGTCTGAGTTACTAAATTCGTCTCCTCTTTAAAACCTCCGACTCAGCAGAAAACCACACAGCAGCTTCAGCTGAGCTGTCAATCAGCAGCAGCAGCCTTATCTGTCCGCCGCAGGGGCTGATGGGAGGTCTGAGGACCCGTTAGAAACCACGCGGCCCTCGTCTGATCTCACAGCTCGTCCTTGTTTGGCCTCAGCTGCATCAGAGCGCCACTTCTCCCCAGGTTCACCAGAGGAAACACCACTGCACACAATGCTTTTCCTCCCAGCTGCTGCTCTGTGCTGTCTGTGTTCAGGTGAGTGTTTCCAGCCAATCAGGAGCCAGCAAACTCCACCTGGAACAAACACTGTCACACTGACCTTCATCTATCTGTCTGTGTCTCTACAGCGCTGGTTGCCATGGCAGCAGAGCTGATTCAGGAGGATTTAACATTGACCAGGGGAGTCGATGAAACTGTTTCCTTCAGCTGTCAGAGAACTGACCAGTGTGACACTGATTATGTATTCTGGTACCAGAAGAAAGACACAGACACATTCAGAGTGATTCTAGATATAACTAAGAGTAATTGTCGCATAGATTCAAGTTACAGCAATCATCCTCAGAAAAATGATTTCTCTGCTGTGAGAAATCAGAACGGCTGTGAGTTACAGCTCAAGAACGTTAAACTCTTTCATTCAGCCACCTACTACTGCGCCTGTTATAAGAGTGGTACCCACAGTGAGAAATGATCCGTGCAGCCTGAACAAAAAGCAGCAGATGTCAAACAGTGTTTGTGACAGGAAGAGAGCAGTAAACCACAGCCCAGTTCACATATTTCACCTCCATCTCAGCCAGAGTCACAAACATACTGAGCTGAGGGATTTCTTTAATATTCTATTGATTTCTATTTGATCAGATATTCCAAAGCAAACAAGATAAAGAGAAAACATTAAAAGTACAAAGTAAATGAAAATGTTATCCAGATGAAGGCAAAGCAAATTTATATAGCACAATTCATACAATTCATAAAAGACTCGGGCCGTTCCCCCTCACTTTAAAAAACTTGTCGTCACTTCAAAAATTAGATTCATTTGTTTAACATACTCAAAGTGTTCCAAACATTGTTCTAAATTAACTTCATAAAGCAATGAAATGAAAAATCCATTGATGCCATAAAATGTTCTCAAAGAGTGGCTGAAAGACTCAATCTCAACATTTAGGCTACTGAAAAGTCACCGTCCCACCTTTTGCGCCGACAAGGTGTTGTGGAACATGACTACAGTCTCTGTATATAGGCCTAAGAAAGCTACACTAACCTGAATAGATAGCACACGTTCATACAATATAAAATTTAGTATTTCAATATCCCTACCAAACTGCTCATAATATTCAGCCTCACATAAGAAAAATAAAACCTATTTATTTTAACGGCTGCGTCAGGGTGCGTGAAACGAACTGGGAGCAAATGCAAAATATTAAACACATTTCAAAGAAGTAGGCTGATCCTGCTGTACTGTAAAAACCTGTAGGCAACAATAGCCTGAGGCTTTTAATCAGTCTCTGTATGATTATATCGTTATAGTCAAGAGTTTCTCCACATCACCGCTGCAAACATAAAGCAGCTTATTGGCTAAAACAGTCTGTGGGGTCTCCTACAGATGGTGATGTCATTTTCCAAGAGAGCTGATTGGTCAGTAGGCGGCCTTTTCACAGAGTTGATCTCTTCTCTGGAACATAACCTGCTCCGGAGCAGGTTAGCCGTTCAGCATAAGTTACCATGGAGATCTATCCCGGTAAGAAGTGAACCACCTTTGTGGTACTGAATATACTGGATAAGCTCAATTTTGAAATACTGGCAGGGATGGCAGGCAGAGGAGGTGGCTGACGAGGTGCAGGTGTTGATTGTCAGCTGGGCTCAGGAGCAGAGAGAGAGAGGGAGAACACAAGCAAGGGGAGCAGAGGAGACACAGACAGGCCAAAACACGAGGGGAAACAGAATCACAAGAAAAAAGGAAAAATAAACAGGACACTCATTGTCAGCCGGGCTGCCACCACAACACATGGTTTGGGTTTAAATAACTTTGTATATCAGTTAACATGTAAGTTAACTAACGTCACTTGCGTCGTAACCTGCCAAAATAAAATATTTAATGTTGACTTTTTGTTTCACATGAGACACGGACCCCAGTCTCCTGGCTCAAAGTTGTGGTTCTGACTCTCCATCCAACCGGGGGTGGCAATAGCGCAATGGATAAGATTATGCCTTTGGTGTGAGAGACTCGCATTCAATCCCCCACTGTGACCCATCCACCATTGTGTCCCTGAGCAAGACACTTAACCCCTAGTTGCTCCAGAGGCTTGCGACCTCTGACATATATAGCAATTGTAATGTGCTTTGGATGAAACCGTCAGCTAAATGAAAATCCAACCTTACTTTGTCTTTTCTGTTAAATATCATATACCTGCCTTTACCGTTAAAAACTGACGCTGCAGGGCTTCCCCCAATACGTCGCACTATGACAGAAAAGGGATTCCCAGTGCGTCACAAACTAACGACTATGGCTCTTGACCATGCGTCCATATGTGACGACTTGGGAGTGAGAACAGGTTCAGTTTACGCAAGGTTTTTTAGTCTAGAAGAAGGCAATGGGGAACATAAATGTTCTTGGTCTGGATTTAAAAGTAGTCAGATTTGGAGCAAGTCACAAAACTTCTGGATGTTTATTCTAGCTATTTGGTGCATAGTAGCTAAAAACTGCTTCACCATGTTTTGTTTTGACTCTGAAGACAGTCAACAGACCGGTCCCTGATGACCTGAGGGGACTAGAGGATTCATATTCTATAAACATTTCAGTGATGTATTTTGACCCTAAAGCTTTTAGTCATTTATAGGTGAGCAGCAGTATTTAGATATTAATTCTCTGACCTACTGGGAGCAAGTCCAGGGATATGAGAATTGGTGCAATGTGTTAAAATGTTCAGGCCTTTATTAGAACTCTAGCAGCAGCATTCAGAACATGCTGTGGCTGCCTAAGACCTTTTTAGAGAGACCTGAAAAGAGACCATTACAAGTCTAACCTACTAGTACTTAAGGGATGAACATTTTTTTGTTGTGAAGTTAAATAGAGGTGGCCCTAGGATTGAACCTTGTGGGACTCCACACGTCATGTTAATTAGCTCAGATACATAGTTGCCAATGTAAACAAAGTAATTCATCTCTTCTATGACCTAAACCAACTAAAGGCTGCGCTGGAAAGCCCTACCCTGTAGTATTGGTGTTCTTCCTGGATCTTGTTACTGTTTTCCCAAAGGTCCATTTGGGGTATCCACAGGCTGTAAGTGCCCCCTTCAGGTGGTTCTGTTCCTTCTCTCTGGCTTGAGCACTTCTTGGTATGTTCTCAGCTCCATGGTGCCGGGGCCTGATGACCCCTAACTTTTGCTCTAGTGGGTGGAGAGAATCCCAAAGTAGGTATTGGTCTGTGTGTGGGGGTTTTCATGTAAACACCAATTTGCAGGCTCCTGTCCTCTTCAATGTGTACAGCACAGTCCAGGCAGTCCAAAATGTTGTTGTGAACATCATCTCATGTAAACTTGATGTTACTGTTCACGGAGTTGATGTGTTCTTTGAGGGCTTGAACTTCCTGGATTTTGATCCATGTGTCATCCATGTACTTGTACCAATGGCGTGGTGCTGTTCCTCTAAAGAAGTTCAGGGCTTTGCTCTTCACTTCCTCCATGTAGATGTTGCCCACAATGGGGGATACTGGTGAGCCCATGGCACAGCCATGCTTCTGTCTGTAGAAACCTGGGATACTTTACAACCACTACACAAACGCATTGGCTCAACAAAGGGCCAACTCCTCAGGTCAACACACTTGTTTGAGGACCACCAAGTTCACATTTTAGACAGAGAGGATGGATGGTTTGAAAGGTGTCAAAGAATCCATTTACACCCGAGTTGAGAAGCCCTCACTTAACAGAGGAGGTGGTCTGCGCCACCACTTATCCCCCACTTACAATGCTGTCCTTTCATCACTTCCCAGGAAACGTAACAAGCATTCACTTTGGGCCTCAGGTGAAGATGCCAGCAATGGTTGTTCAGACCTCTAACGACCATAACGACTGTCATTACAGCCAGGAGCACTATCGAACCACCGGTATCGATGATCTTGGCAAATGACTCCATAGAGGTTAAATAGCTGAGTTTCCCTATCAGTCAGTCAGAACTGAAGAAGTTTCTTGGATGAGGGTGAAACGTCTAGTATCTTCAACCAAGTCCAGTTGCCCTTGATTTTAACCATCCTTGAATAACAGGACAGTCAACACTAAGCATCTCATTCGTATCAGAGGAGTATACCTCATAATCAGGGTCCTCAAACACCTTTGACAAAATTTCATTGACAGAAAACCTTTCCTTAAAGTTAATTTTCAGTTTAGAGAGAGAACACACAGAGCACGAAGAGAAATGATTTAGAAGACAACTGTGCAAGCTTTTCTACCTATATTTCTTTGCGGACCCATATTTGTGGGGGCGCGGAAATATGGTTCATTTTGTTTTTGATCGTGCTTGTTTATATCTTTGTTGAACTGCGCGAGCTCGGCCTACGGTAATGTTTTTGGGTCGAAATACCTTGTTTCTCCTGTGTCTGCGCTTGGCACTTGTGACAAGAACAACTTCCTCTTCTTTCTGCAATTTTTTAGAGAGCAAATTTGCTTAGAGGTAGTGCAAAGTCAACTTTAAAAACAGGACACTGAATTTCAGAACAATGGTGTCTTGCAAGGGACAAATGGAAAGAATTGCTGAATTTTCTGGGGAAACTTCGTGGTTTATTCAGGCTACTGCCTTACATTTCCTAATAAGCACTGAACACAAAGTAAAGCTGAAGCTGATGGGAATGTCAAGTCAATTTTATCAGTAGTTTACAATCCAAAATCACGAATGGAAAATTCCTCAAGGGGCTTTATAATCTGTACAGCATACGACCTTAGAGCCTCCAGACAGATCAGGAAAAAAAAACCTTCAAAGGGGAACAATTATGAAAGTAACCTCAGGAAACGCAACAGAGGATCGCTCTTCCAGGACGACACATGCTATAAATGTCATGCACCCAATCAACCAAAATAGCAACGATGTAAGATGTAAGTAAAATTAGGATGACAACATTATAGAGAGACTGTAAATAAAAAAGAATATAGACATTGAGCTACTTCAGGTGCCACCAAACAGTCAGAATGTCATTGTTTCTGAAGGTATTTGGTCATGAACCAAAGTACTGGACAAATTAAAAGTTTGACTTGATGGTGGTGCTATATGAAAAGTCAGATGATCACCAAAGTTCATCCCGAGGGAACGTCTGAACTACATTAAATAGTAATCCATCTAATAGGTTATGAGATATTATAGTCTGACCAAAAACATCATCCTGCTGGTGGTTCTAGATGAGAAGTCAGAATCAACAAAGTCAATTAATGAAGTGAATCCTCTGGGGACCAGGAATGTCTGAACAACATGTCAATCCATCTTTTGGTCCAGGTCCAGTCCATCTGGACCAAAGTAGTGGACCAGCAGAGATCAGCATCCACAGAGCAACACTGCTAGTGTGTCTAAAAAGACAATAAAAGAAGAGACAGTCATGTTGATATGAACATTAGAGAAACTCATCATGCAGCTGGATTTTGATCCTGGTTCATCATTTGGACTCGTTCACCTCAGCTGACACATTCAGCAGCTGACAGGTTTTTGTATTACTCTGTTTCACTGTGGGAGGAAACTACTACTACATCTTTGGCTCTGGAACTAA